GCTATCACCCGGACGCCATCGGGGGCAGGATTCGGGAGCAGAAATGAGGCCGGCGCCTCAACGAGAGCAGCATTTTTGGGAAAAAATGACGCCGGCGCGAGAGCAGCATTTTGGGGAAAAAATGACGCCGGCGCCTCAGCGAGAGTCGTTTCCCGGGATTTCCCGGGCATCCTGTGTGTAAAAAACAGTACGTGGAGGGTGCGCGGCTATCACCCAGACGCCATCAGGGGAAGAGGGAGAGTATATTCATATTGAGTAATTGTGGAGGGGAGGAAAGGAGGGGGGGGAGGAGGGGGGAGGAAATGAGGAGAGGATGGAGGGGAAAACCAGTGTAAACCCAAGACTCATCAACGATATGGCAATCCACCCACTCCAAATTACCTCTTCATAGGCCCCACGCAGGTTTTACTTTCACTGGAGAAAAAGTCGCGTTGGAAAGCAATCGCCTCAAATTACAGAATTGAGCCGTAACACGAGTCCTGGGACTTCAACGCCATGAATCGCCGCCACTGCTGCGCCTTGACGATCCTGAATCGTGCGAGAGCGCCGTTTCTGGGACTTCAGCACCGTGAGTAAACGTGACGGCTGCCTGCTGACATTCCGACGTCGTGCCACAACACTAGCTCTGGCACGTTGGCCATGATAATCCCTGGAACTGCTGCAAACTATTAAGATGAACGTGCGCGGCGCTAAAGCGAGAACCATATTTCGAAAAAGGACCACCCGCCATCCGTGAAACACCTGCAATGTTGTAAGACGAACGTGCGCGGCGCTGATGCGAAGACCACAGTTGCACGGCGCAGGCGAGAACAACATTTTGAGAACGGCCGGCCCTCCATGGTGTTCTTGCAAACTGTTAACGCGAATGTGCACGGCGCAGGAAGAGGACGAGGAGTAGGAGTAGGAGTCAAGCTAGCCACCTCGAGCGAGTCAAGTATGGCATGCCCAGTCCCACCCGCCCTCCCACAACATAAGAAGCAAAGCTGGCACAACTGGGGGCCGAAGTCACACCGGCCAGCCGGTTTGGTACAGCTGATGCGGCCGCGATGGCGGTTGCCGACGGGAACTGGCGAGCGCGTGTTGAATGCCGCGCACGCATTGCCAGACGAGTCGAGAATGGCCCGGTACACCGCAGGAAGCCAGAGGTGGCCGGAGGAAGCCCGACGGTCTGACAGGACACCCCAAAGCATTTTTGTGAAAAAGCATTGGGTTTTTGATGTTTTTATGTTGAAATGCTTGCAAACACACGGTGTTCGGTAGGATTCTGACATGAACGCGCGAGTGTGCTCTTTGTGGTATTTTTTGCACAGGATTCGCGGCCTGGGTGCATGACAGAGCATCGCGAGTGCACCGCGCGATGACGTGAAATCGCTGGATTTGACCGAATTCTTAAGATTCCTATGGTTTTCCTATGATTTCAGCAAGAGAGCCCGGGCGGGAAATTTGTACAATTTTTGTGAAAAAGCATTGGGTTTTTGATGTTTTTATGTTGAAATGCTTGCAAACACACGGTGTTCGGTAGGATTCTGACATGAACGCGCGCGTGTGCTCTTTGTGGTATTTTTTGCAATGGATTATCGCCGTGGACGACAGGACGTCCATGTCGAGAGGAAAAAATAAGAAAAATGTTGATTTTGTATTGTTTTTTACAGGTTAGGATGGGACCACCCGGATGCGGCCCCTATCTGCCGGCCTGAGGGGGGAGTAGGAGTATATTCTAATAAGGAATAAGCATAGGAGTAGGAGGAGGAGGAGGAAGCGAGGAGGAGGAAACGAGGAGGAGGAGAAGGAGGAGGAGGAGGAGGAGGAGGAGGCGGAGGAGGAAAGGGAGAAGGTAGGATGGGACAAGGGAGGGGGCAGAGGTAGGACGGGAGGGGAAACGGGGTACGGAGGAGGAGGAGGAGGATGAGGAGAAGGAGGAGGAGAAGGAGGAGGGGAAGGAGGGGGAGGAGCGGGGCGCTCTCTCCTGCTGCAGAGCGGTGGAGGTTGGCCCCCACGTCCTCAAGGGCTCCCAACTTCGCGCTTCGCGCTGCGCGAATAACTTCGCGCCCTCGAGGGCGCCCTTGGTCCTCGTCCACGCCAGCCGCCTGCCATGCTCGCACGGGCCCTCTGCGTCGGGTTCGGCGGCGGCGGCAACCTGCAAAAAACTCTGGCTGCTGAAGCCGTCGCCCTCTCGCTCGTCCCCATCGGAGCCTGTGGTAAGCTCATCTTCAGCCTCTTGTGCTGCACCATCTTCTGTGCCTCAGGCCGGCCGCCTGCGAGCCGCTCGCTCGCCGACTCTCGGCTGTTGGGCCCCTCCCTCCTCCCTCTCCTCCTCCTCCTCCTCCTCCACTTCCGCTTCCTCCTCAACGGCCGCGGTCTTCTTTTACACCCGCTCTTGCGTGCGCCCCCTGCACGCCCTGCCGTTGGCGACGCCCGCGCCGTCCGCTGGCGCGGCCGCGGACAGCAAAAATGGTACACTAATTTTAGTTCGTGGACCTTGAGCTGCGGGCTGGCTGGGGACCGACTCCGACTTGGTGCCGCGGTTCTGCGACCGGCGTCCCCCCCGTGGGAGTCGCTGTCCTCGGGTGCCAGCCCATGAGACATAGCTACTCATTGCACCAGAGAAAAACCACAATCAGTGGATGGTTTTCGCTGAGAAGATCGACCGAGAACCTGGGAGCCCGGGAACCCAGAACCCACCGAAATCGGCCCTCGGAACCAATAGCCGGGAACCCGGGAACCCAGCACGGGGAGTCCGGGAACCCAGCCTGCTGCCAAAACCGGCGGGAAACTTTCGCCAAATCTTCCAACTTCCGCTAGGACCCCTGTAGTGCAAGCACTCACTGGGGACAAATCATGGAAGCTGCGGGCCCAAGTCGCGAGGTGGGCGACGGGCGGAGTCGCCGTCCTCTCTGCTGCCAGGAGGGAACCTCGTCTCCGAGAGGACATACACGGCCTGAGCGTGCTTTCCCATCTTCCGAGCCTTTCGAGCGCGGCTCCGTGCCTCCGCGCGGAGGCGCAGCCGTGGGCTCTCCCAGCTCCTCTCCCCCGTCCGCGGCTGCCTCACTTGTCTTCTCGCCGTCCCCGCGTGTGTCACTTCGCCATTCCGAGGCCCGCTGAGGCTCCGACCACGCCGTGCGTTCGCGGGTGCCGCGATCAACAGGCAGTATGCTCACCCCTTTTTCAAAGGGCCTGTGTTCCGCGACGCGCGCGGGGGGAGTGAGAGGGAGCAGGCCTTCTCAGACGGCGGCGGGGCTTCTCAGAAGCCTTCGGGTCTTCTGAGAAGTGTTCAGTACTTTCGGGTAAGGCGTAGCACAATTCTCAGAATGCCCGAAGTCTTCAGAGCCTCTTGATAAAAACCCGCCCCTTATCACTGCCACCCGGGGGGCGCCGCGACCAAATAATAAACTCATCTCTTTCGCATGCCGGAAATAATTTCGAGCACTCTCACAACCAGAAATGATTTCGAGCACCAAGACGAGTATCGAAACTGTGTCTGCCCGACACGCCAACGGAGTGTCGAACGAGCATCGCCTCCCAAGACCCGACACGTGAAATCCCTCCAGGTTCGGCACTTTGTGTTGGCGGAGCGGAGAGGGTTAGGCAGAGGGGGAAGGCTTCTTAGAAGGAGGCTGTTTCTTAGAAGGCGCTGGCCTTACATCTATAGAGAAGGCCCGCGCCTTCTGAGAAGCAGCCTCCTTCTAAGACGCCTTCCCCCCTCCCCCTACCCACCTTTTGCGCGTGGCAGATTCTTGGTGCTCGAGATTTAGAAGAAGAAAACACGTCATAAACAAAAACGTTTGGCGCTCCGCGCAGATTTCTTGGATCTGCGTCGGAGGCGCCGCTGTGGATCTAAGAAGTCCGCGCGGATCTAAGAAGTCCGCGCGGAACGCCAAACGCTTACGTGTATGGCGATTTGTCTTCTTCGACTTTTGCGCGTGGCCGATTCTTGGTGCTCGAGATTCCGTCTGGTGACCAAGGCAGGGACATCATACGAGGGGCAACGATAGGGGTTGACTGGCATAAGTGGGGATGCATCGACCTGGAATCGGCCATACATCGCCGAACGATCGGCGATAGGCCCCCGACAATGAATCCGCACCTTCCTGGGCAGGTTGGGGCCATCGGGCGCCTATCGGTGATCAACGGGCGATTGGAGGTCTATGCATCCCCCCACTGTGCCTATCCCCCCCTGTGGTTGCCCCTGATCATAGCGCCTGCCCTTGCACGGCAACCTGGCCGGCGACTCGCCCCCGCCTGGCGCCCTCGAGCTGCTGCAAAAGCCCGGGCACACCACCAAGCCTCTGCTCCTCGACCGTCAGCTCCATCGGACAGAACGCCTCCCCCCTCCCTCCTCCTCCTCCTCCTCCTCCTCCTCCTCTTCTTCTACTTATTCTGATTATTATGTTTGTTATGCTTCCTCTGCTTCTTCTTCTACTTCTTCTGATTATCCTGGTTCTTCTGATTATTCTGCGTCTTCTGCGTCTTCTGCTTCTTCTGCATATTCTGCATCTTCTGCATCTTCTGCTTATTCTTCTTCTTCTGCGACTTCTGCTGATTCTTCAACATGTTCCTCTTCTTCCTCTTATTCCTCTTATTCCTCCTATTCCTCCTCGTCATCCTATTCCTCCTCTTGCTCTTCTTCCTCCTCTTCCACTTCCTCCTCCTCTTCCTCCTCTTCCTCCTCCCTCCTGACCTCCTCCTCCCTCCTCCCTCCTCCCTCCTCCCTCCTCCCTCCTCTCCTCCTCCCTCCTCCCTCCTCCCTCCTCTCCTCCTCCCTCCTCCCTCCTCCCTCCTCCCTCCGCTCCCTCCTCCCTCCTCCCTCCTCCCTCCTCCCTCCCTCCTCCTCCACTCCCTCCTCCTCCTCCTCCTCCTCCTCCTCCTCCTCCTCCTCCTCCTCCTCCTCCTCCTCCTCCCCCCTTCCCTCCTCCTCCTCCTCCTCCTCCTCCTCCTCCTCCTCCTCCTCCTCCTCCTCCTCCTCCAGGGGGTGGCCACGCAGAAGAAATGCACATGTGCGCCCCCGAGAGCCCTGAGAGCCCTTCCGTGCGAGTGCGTGAGAGTGCGGCCGCCTCGTGCCAGCGTGGTCGCAGCGGCGGCCGCTTCGGGAACCATGTCGCTGGGCGTGCCGATGCCGGGAGGCTCGCCCCGGAGCCGCTGCGGGGGCGGCTGCGCGGCCGCGGCGCTCTCGCACGTCCCGCCCTCCCCCCGTCAGCTCCCCCTCCTTCTGCTCAGGGCCACTTAGCTGCGGGCATCGTGCCCCGCGACTCTCTTCGCGCCCTCGCGCCCTCGCGGCGCCCACTTGGGACGGGGGCAGTCGCTCTGGCCCAGACCGCGGTGCGCGGAGCGCGATGGATCTTCGTGCCCCCGCGGGCGACCTGGCTCTCGCCCTCGTCGTTGTGGTCGGTCGTTTCCTCGCCTCGCCGATGGGCGTCTTGTGGCGGCGCGCACACGGTGGCAGGGGGAGGGGGGAAGGCTTCTTAGGAGGCTGCTTCTTAGAAGGCGCGCGCCTTACGATTCTACACAAGGCCCGCGCCTTCTAAGGAGCAGGGGTGCTTCTAAGACGCCTTCCCCCCTCCCCCTACCCCCCTGTACGAAGGGCTGATCCTTCGCGATGGCAAGCACAACAATCCGAGGCAGACCGGCTCCAAGGCACGAGGTCTACCCGCTTCCCAGGATACCCGGGCGGGCGATCCCGCGCAGGGCGCCCCGGCCTGGCCATCGCTGGGGAGGAGCCGCTGGTGAGGGGGGGGGGATGAAGGAGGGAGGATGAGGAGGGGGAACTCGCGAAGGCAAGTGCTCCGCGGCTGGATGGTGCATAGAAGCTGCTGAACATGTCCGCGGCCAGGCACATGCATGCAGCCTCGATTTGATGGCTGGACTTTTTTTCTGATCCTGTAACTTCGTCCCTTGCTGAAGCCATTGCTTTGCACGACACTGTCCCGGCACTGGGCGCTCTATTATCATTCCGTGCGCTGCCGTTGCTTCAGCGACTTAGGCTCTGGGAAAAGAAGGATGAGGAGGGGATGGGGTTGCACGGGGCCAACTCGAGAAACGCACACCGACATCAACATACACTTTCAAACGTCCGCGCAAACTTCTTGGGTCGTCGCTTGGTCCCCCCGTGGCGGCACCTCTGGCGCCGCCCCTGGCACGCTCCGCGCATCGGGGGGGCATCAAACGCCCCTGAACTCCGCGCGGACTTCCGAAAGAAAATGTACGGGTGTTTTTCGGGAAATGCCGAACGCACGGGGGGGAAAGAGGGGGAAGAGGGGGATGATGATGATGATGATGATGATGATGATGATGATGATGAGGAGGAGGAGGAGGAGGAGGAGGAGGAGGAGGAGGAGGAGGAGGAGGAGGAGGAGGAACAATCAAGGGATGAATATTGGACGCTCCTCCACGCCCTCAGCCACGCTGGCCGCGAACGACAAGTCGAGCACCTTCCGAGAAGATCTGCCCGGTGCAATTGTCGGGTCCTGCACGGATCCCCCTCGTCCCTCCCGCTCCCCCCCCCCGGACACTCGTCCTCCTGCTCCTGCTCCTCCCTCTGCTACCCCTCTGGCCCCTCCCTCTCGTTCTCCTTTTCTCGTTCTCCTCCTCCTCCTCCTCCCGCTCCTCCTCCCCATGTTCCCTCTCCTGGTGGGCAATGAAAAGAGGAGGGGTGACGACGGAGAGGGGAGTGCATCGGGGCAGGGAGAGCACGTAGAACTCCAAGGCGACTCTCTCCAATCGGACTCTCACGGGCACCCTCCGTCCACATCACCCGCGCTGCCTCCTCCTCCGCACCCCAGCTTCCTCCTCCTCCTCATCCTCGTCGCCGCCTTCCGTCTCCTCCTCCTTCCTCTCCTCCCTCCTGCTCATCCTCCTCTCCTTTCTTCTCGTCCTGCACGCCCTCGTCGTCCTCGTCCTGCTCCTCGTCCTCCTGTCCCTCCTCTCCTCCTCCCCCCCCCCCTCCCCGCTCCCCACCCCCTCCCTCTCTCCGCCTCTGTCCCCCCCCTCCGCACCTCATTACCCCCCCCGTGCCCACCACCACCTGGGCATCGCTCGGACGTCCCTTCCCTATGTTGTTTTCGGTTTCGTGCGTGTTTTTCGCCAGATGGTCGAGGATGCTCCTCGATGGTCCTCGCCGAAAGGAAAATGCACACGTCCGAGCGATGCCAGGCAACCCCCCTACTTCTCAGACCCTTGCAGTGCCAGCGCTGCTCCTGGCTTCCGTGACCGCGCCAGTCGCTCCACCTGGAACGCGCTCTGTCGGGGGCGTCTGGGAGGCGGGCGTCCAGGAGTCCAAGACGAGGGTTCGCAAGCCATGGCCCGAGGCGCTTGCGCGGACGCAGAGGGGGGGCGAATGACGCGTTGAAGAAGAAGAAAACGGGGGCCATGAAATCCGGGCGGATATCATTAGAGGAGAACGCAATGGCATAAAAAACAAACTTTCGGAGGTCCGTGCGGATTTCCTGGATCGGCGCTGGACCTCCCTCACTGGCGCGCGGAGCGCGCCATGGGGGCTTCAACGCCGATCCGAGAAATGCACGCGGAACTCGGAACTCGGAAAGTTTATGCTTATGCAAGATCTAGTTCTCTGGATCATGGCCTTGGCCATGACATCCACCGCCCGCTAGTTCGGCTGCTCGCAAAAGTGACCCCAAGCAAATGTGACCTCTGATGCGCGGATGTAGGGGGCCGCGGGGGAGGCCAAACCCGAGCCGCGCAAGCCGATACTGTCGCCTCGGTCAGCCACCTGGGGACCCCGGTGTGTCCGCGCCAGAGGTCACTCCGGCGGAAGGTCACTCTCCCGTGTAGCCGACAAATCAGTAACGACGGTCTATCGCAACGACAGTGCCCTCTTGGCCGCCCCCGTTGGACGACCTCCGCCGTCGCAGAGTCCCCGAGGATGCCAAACACTCCGTTTGGAACGTCCTTGGGCCTGCGCCTCTGGCGCGCTGGGACGGCGGGAACTCACAGCCGTGGCGCCGAGCGAAGGCAAGGCCTCCAACCTCTCTGGGCCACTGGTTCTCGTTCTAGTACTACGTTGTAGTATGAAAGCGAGAATGCTAGTACTATGCGCTCCTGTTCGAGACCCACGTCCGACCCGAACAGATAGAAGAACATCTTGTACGTAATCTATGATCCAGGGTTGCCGCCCCCCTGCCCCCTCCCCAATGCATATGGGAATGAGCCCCCCCCGTCCCACTGGATGGGTAAGCCCGTAAGCCTCGCGAAGGCCTCGCAAATGGGATCGTTCCCCCCCTGGCTGTGGTCGTGGCCCTGTGGGCGTGGCGTGGTGGAGGGTGCCGGTGCACCCCCCGCCCTCCCCCTGTGGGTGTAGGGTGGTTCGTCGTCGTCGTCGTCGTCGTCGTCGTCGTCGTCGTCGTCGTCGTCCGTCGTCGTCGTCGTCCTTCGTCGTCGTCGTCGTCGTCGTTGGCCGTCGGCCGTCGGCCGTCGTCCGTCGTCCGTCGGCCGTCGGCCGTCGTCCGTCGTCCGTCGTCCGTCGTCCGTCGTCGTCGTCGTCGTCGTCGTCGTCGTCGTCGTCGTCGTCGTTGTCGTCGTCGTCGTCGTGATCGTCGTCGGTCGGTCGGTCGTCGTCGTCGTCGTCGTCGTCGTCGTCGTCGTCGTCGTCGTCGTCGGCGTTGGCGTCGGCGTCAGCGTCGGCGTCGCGTCGTCCACCTCCCCATCCCATCTGTGGGGGGTGCCTGTGGAACCCTCTGGCCCATCCCATCTGGCGGGGGGGCCCTGTGAACCCTCGACCCGGGACAATATATCGTTTCTCGAGCGGTATGGCAAGAAAACCTCCGCCACGGGGCTTATACTATAAAATGTCTGAGCGCGCGTGCGTCGCCACCTGGGGTGCAGACGCACACATAGTATCAATTCTAGGTGCTGCTGATGAGGGGAAACGATAAGGGGGGACTCCGCACAGGGGGGGAACCATCGAGCTGGAATCGGCGATACATCGCCGATAGATCGGCGACAAGCTCTCGACGGTAAATCCGCCAGGGTCTGGGCGGGGTGAGGCTTTCGGGCCCCTATCGACGATGAATGGGCGATTGGGGGTCGATGTACTCCCCCTGAGCCTATCTCACCCTAACTTTGCCCCTGAGCCTTCGCATGCGAATCTGTTTTTTCTTCCCAATTGGACTTGCCGACCCTGTCCACATTGTTCCGGCGTTGCCAAGACAATTGCGCACGTGCGCGACGTACCTGTCTGACCAGACAGCAGACCGCTGTCTTGCCCATGGCACGGAGAAGGTATGCCTGCGGCTCGCGCTGAAGCTCAGCGCTCCAGCGAGACAGCGGGCAGTTGGCCAGTTGCCTGTCATGACGTTCCAGGTGTTTCACAGGTACCTCGGTAAGAACTTTGGTGGCGACTTGCGCAGCAGATCACCGTGCAATATCAAGCATCGCATGGAGTGTGTATGGGGGAAGTTTCATGTGCACAAAGCAGTTTTGAATATACCCCTATCGTTGCGACCTCGTTTGAAGCTTTTCGACGTGGTTGTCACTCCCACCGCTGTGTACGGTCTGTCGACGGAAACCACGACAACACAACATCGGTCGCGAATTTCATCGACGCAAGCCAAAATGCTCCGCTGGATAATTGGTTTCAACAAGCTGGGAGGAAACGGGAGGGGACGGGGCGGCGCTGCAAGAGCGACGTGCGCGTCACTGTGGACATCTTCCCTGTGTCAGACTGGCTCGGTGCGCTGGATCGCTTAATGCGGCGCCTTGTGGAACGTCTTGTCACCGGTGACCCGCAAGATGGCCAATGAAGTTTTATGATGGCGCCAACCCGGACTTCGACGCCGATGTCGGCCGCGTCGCAAATGTACAGATGCCGTCGATGGCCTTATTACGGCAAGAGGCACGGCACGAATTTCACGACTGTTGTCCGCAGCCAGGAGCGGCACCCCTGGCAGCGGTCCGAACATCCACTTTTCTTCTACATGTGTTGGAACGCATAATGTACGATAGATGTATTGTAATGTTGCCCTATCCGCCAATTCTCGCTTGCATGCGC